TAACCCAAAAAAGGTAATATTTCACACTCTTATCTCCTGCGCTGTTTTTACAAAGCCGTTTAATGAGTGTGCAATATTATAGTGTATGTATCGCTATATGAGTAATATAACATTATTACCGTTTTTGTCAACCCTATTCGTTTTACGGGTAATTAAATTCCTTACGGTCAAAATTCATGGTTTTGCGCTTCAAATTAAAATGTATTTCCGTCGGTCGTTTAAATACATACATTCGTGTCGTGAAAAATATAGTTGACAAAAAGCTTTGAGCTCGTTAAGTGGAAATTTATTAAATCCCAACGAGCAATAAAACCGCGATTAATTTGGCATTGAAATGAAATAAATAAAGGTAACCACAACAGAACAATGTACAACAACTTGCTGCAATCGCTTTGCATAATATAGTCGCAACGGATCAAAGACTAACGACAAATTAGTGTTAATTGACTATGTTATTCGTCTCACTTTCCTCATGACATTTTTCACAACAATTATTATTATATTTGGTAAAACCCTTCTCTAGCACTTCCCTTCGGAAACCAAAATATGGTCTGAATGTGCCGAATGAAAAATTCATCATCCAATGAAATCACAATAATTTCTTAAACCCCTCCAATCCGGTACAACCCGTTTTTAATTACTCTAAGTGCACGCTTTACGTTTCCAAGACATTGTTATGATAGCTTATAGCCCATCGTCACCGTCGCCGCGTTAAGCCAGAAGGGTATTTTATATCCGTCCGTTTACAAACATATTAATTCCAAGTCGGAACCGTAAGCGCTCCGGTACAACAATATAGTATTATGTAAAACGTCATTTAAATAATCCCAATGCGGAAAATCCCATTCACAAAAAAAGGTATGTATGCATAAACTATACAGTATGTACTTGGTGTCTAGCCGGAAATAATCGAATGCAATATTGTTGTACAAACACTTTTTTTTTTTATTATTATTACAAACTACCTAACTGTCATCGCATATCCGCCATTTGTTTTTTATCGAGTAGAAGTATTATGTTGAAATATTTTTATTCAATTAAACAGATTCTGTATGGGAAATTATTCGAACAAATAATTGCCCACCTATTGTTCTATCTACAACGCCCGATTACTAGATAAACTATTATCGAATAAGTAACTCTAATTGTAAGCTACTGTGAAGTGCTGTGAGCGTTTAGCACCTTAATCGCTCTACTAAAATATTAGCATACTACAAACTAGGCTTTAGCACTATAATTGAACTGGATAATTTATTTTAAACGTTTCCAACGAAATTGTCGGTCGTCGCTCATTTTATTTTCCTCTTTATTATTTTGCAGAGAAAAACGCTTTAAGGTGTCGCTTTATTATTTAGTCCATTGAAAAAAAAATATTGTTCCATTTACGTTTTGGGAATAAAAGGAACGTGGAATACATTATTCAAATGATATTTTAACATTTCTCTTGTACAGTATTCAGTCACCTATTCAAGAAGCACGCCGATAACGACGTGGTAAACCCAAGTTACGCAATATCTTATTCATGTCTCCCGGTTTGCTCAGTCTGCAGAAAATTATTATAACTTAACGAGATATTATCACGGTAGTTATAATTTTTTTCATAAATACCCATAAAACAAAAGGTTAAAAAGTCAAGTGTATCCGTTGTCGGAAAAAAGAACAAATGTTGTTTTACAATTGTATGAGCGTAACTATATATAATTTTTAAAATTATAATCAGAAAAAATATGTTTACAATTTGTACGTTAAACAAATAAGTAACATGACAGTAAGATTATCGTTAATGAGAAGACACTCAGCAGTACTTAAGTACTTCTGTATCATTTGGCTGGCTACTATAGGGTCTTGGTGAGTGCGAAGCTGTTAACAGGATGTCATCGGCAGTGTACCTATATTAAAAAAAATAGTTAAAAAAAAAAAGAATAAAATAGATATCGGGATCTCTTGAACATTAAAACACGTTTAACGTACCTACCGAAAAAATGTACTACAGAATTGGATTTATTGTTATAGGCAGTTGAACATAACGTATAACGACTCACTGTCGGTGTAATAGCTGTATTGAAACTAATGTCTTTTATTTATTAATGTTTACACTCCCTTTTGTCTATTTTACAAAAGAAGCATGTGGAGTGGATAAATCGCACTTTGAACAACTACAGCTCTAATGCAATTCTATCGAACCCAACACAAGGCGTCTTAGTAGGTACTGCAGTTGTTCAGCAACGGTTTGGCGGGTTTCCTATATTGGAATTTAGCCGGTTTTATTTCCAGAATGTAGTTCTGGCTAATTGGTTTTCTCATACGTTTTGCTAGTCGAATCCCATTGGCACGGCAACTAAATGGTGCAAGTATGAATAGCTCTCATTTGCGTGCAATGAGTTAACAATAGCGTGTCGGATCGGATGCGAATGACAAAGTGTAGCGATTAAACAACGCGGAAATCATTCGTCTTTGTGTCAACACTAAGTCGTTATGCTCGAGATTTTCATTCATATGGAGTTGAAAAAAAAAACATACAACATCCATCTCTTAGCAATTTGTGCTCTCGGTTAAACTTTCCAGTGTCAATAATAATTTCTCGTCTTGTGTGCGTTGTAAATTCGTTATACCAACGCAAAGCTTTGCAAGAGATGGTATTGGTTATGTTCTGAACAAACATGTATAAACATGTTTATCTGGTCGTATACAGAAAAATTGATTAACTGGAACGCACACCAACAGCCAACAGAATTCTCATTGCATGTAACATATTTTTTCCTTATTTTGGTGTTTAAAGTCATAGATTTTAATATTGTGTGTAGCATTATGTTTCGTTATCTATTCACAAAAATCACTTTAAGTTGTCCACATTTTTTCATTTCAATTGATTGTTTAAATAAATCCCAGTTTTTACTGCTATAAAATCTGACTTTGCCGTAGTTTGAATCAAAAAAAAATTTGTTTTTATATGCATTTCAATGACACATCAAACAATCCACAATTTTTTTTTTTTGGCTCCAATTAAAATGCAGGTTTTTTTTTTACCCTAATGGTCAACAATAGTATTAGTACCTTAGGTATTATTATATTTTGTATAATTATTGTAGTTTTAGCAGAGCAGACGTTCGGTACTTGTTTGTTGTGGCTAATGCAGTTTGACAGTAACAGCAAGGAACCCAAGTCGTGGGGTAATAATATTATTGCATATTGTATTTTATTATTATAATAAACCACAGTGCGATGAAAAGTTAGCCGACTGTACATGTTATGCTCGGCGGCTCGGTAGGTACATCCAGTCGCTTTCCAAAAGGGAGTTTTCTCTTTGGCAGTCGTGTGTGTGTGCCAAATTTATGATAAATCGGTTCATTAGATTGTCAGAAGCAAACCGCGAACGGTGGAAAAGTTACCGCACGACTAAATATTTTCAAATGAAATGGTAAACTTTTTTTTTAATTTCCGGATCGTTTTTTATGCCGTCGTAATTTTGTGCGCCAGTGACAAATTCCGCTACTTAGTTTTATTTATTTAATTTTTTACTTTCTTCCCCAATACCAATATCGGTACAACAATAACCTAATACCGACGTTCACCGCAAACGACCGTAAACACCGTAGTGGCGACGGTCTTGTGCGAAATTGTTTGACTTTTTTAATCGACTAATAAAAAAGCCAGCACAATGAGGTGAGGACGGACCATAGTGGGGCCGGGGTACAAAACTTTTCGGTTCGAATCTATAGGTGATAAAAATATCAGTTATCCATAAAATTAATTATTGAACATTATTTTACAGTTGTTACCCCTTTAAGGTAATATTGACAATGATAATATCTGTTGTCGGACACCTGTTGATTGTTGGTTCGACCATTTTTAAAAGAGTTATAGCGTGCCAAAATTTAAAAGCTTTGTAAATGTATTGGATGTTTGTCTCGATTTTAAAAGGAACGAGGTGAACTTTTTAAATTTTTGCTCCGTTTGAGTACCACTCAGGTATGACTTCTGATCCGTAAACGTGCTACTTGAAGGAGTCAGCTCAGCGGCTTATGAGATATCGTAGGTTTAGCCATGAAAATTGAACAATAAGACCACATCGTTGTAAAAACAATATCTTCTCAGTTCCATATCGAAGCCGAAAATAAATCACTTTCGTCATTCCAGAAAGTAAATACAACATATTGAATTGCATTCCATCAACATCCCATCTCCTCCATTTCCTCTCTTCTTTATTTCCCTATCATCCCCTCCTCGTACCTTATAAATGTAATCATAAAATTATAGATATGTATTCTCTCCCTCCCCTACATGATCTATCCCATTGTCTTTCCCTCTACTACTTTTCGATCTAAAACATGATCTTCCCGTCTCCTCATTTAAATTTTCGATGCAAAATTGTGTAGTGTAACAATTGGTATGATGTCGTTCTTTATATTGTATTGGTCGCAGTGCAATACAACTATACAGATTGTGTTGATGTATTTTTTATTTTATCTCGGGAGTCAAGGTTCCAAAATCGTCTCCAGGGACATCGTAATCCTCTGATCGCTGACCTTGCCACCAATAATTTCTCTGAAAATCCACCCAGTCATTTAAAAAGGAAATGGTGTAGAGATCTGTTAACCTAATTAAATCCACTCATCCATCCATTGTATGCTATCTTTACTGTCGTCATACACTGCTAATATCTTTCTCATTGTACCAATTTTTAACTGTACAGATTGTACATTTTTCAAATTAAATAAAAACTTGGAATTCACGTAAGACGACAATATTGCAACACATTCATAAGATATGCATTCTGATGAATAAAAACATTCCTTATATACCTATTCCTATTCGGTAATTTCCCGTGGAAGATTCTAACGCAAGTGGGCTACCGGGCAACGCTTTTTCTTTGGAAATCACTCTCGTCCTATCGACCCTTAAGTGTTTTTAGGTTAACATGTTATACATATCATTATTTTTTTTTAATTATATAATATTAATAACCACAGCATGCGGTCGACCTGGTCGTTCTCGCTTACCGTTTTGCAGACACATGGCACAGCGGAAAGCCCCTACGGCCAGCACCGTCAATCCCACCACGGCCACCACGAACGGCTTCATCGTGCACGTGCTGCTGTGTCGTCGACCACGTTCGATTGGCTGATTTTATGCGCAACGACCGCCGAGGCCGTTTACGGTCTGCATCGTGAACAATGACACGAGAACGAGACGTGACCTGAAATCAAAGAGCTGAATTACACAACGGCACCGACACCTCTTTAATTATAAATAGGTACATGGGTAGATTTTTTTTTTGGCATTAAAATAACGCGCAACAGTTATTATTATTAGTATACCAGTAACTGCGACAAAGTAATCGAAGATACGGTACAGGCGAGTGTCATCGCTTGTCTTGTTTTATAGATGTACACAACACTCGGTGTAGTTATAACGTAGCAGAGGAATAAAAATAACAATAACTCGGCTGGTTAGTTCGCTATGAGTATTATTTAAAAAAAAAAGTCTCGAATAAATAATTTTTTATTAACTAAAGACGTATCAAAAAACTGATAACTGTGTTTATTTTAGCTAAACGCATATGATTATTGTTTTGGCAAACAACCACCGCGGTTGTGTAGATGGCTAGAATTTATATATTAGGTTGAATAGTGTCAAAATATAGTAACTACGCTTAATGTTTAACAAAAACCGGTAACTTATTAAGGTAGCATCTGGATCCTTTTAGGTTGGAACAATAATGGCGAGCGAGTCTTAACACTGTGCTTAGGATTGAAATTATAGCATTAGGTCGTGCTCGCTTCATAAACAAAGGACAACGAAAAGTACAAGAGAGACAATGTCAAGTGCTCTTGATGCATGTAGTTGTCTTCAAACACTTGGATGATCTTAGCTGAACTCAAACATTGAGCTAACGAGAAGCTTGTGGGTAAACAAAATGAAGTGATCGTTTCGACCTTGCCGGAGTCTACTCCAAACGTTGGTGTGGTTTCCGAATAAACATTTATAATAACACAATTTCGGTTTGTGTGCAGAGTAGGTATTATTGTTTTGTCATAGCCGCAATCCTGTTAAGCAAGTTGTTGATATTATTTTCTTAAAATTTGAATAAAATGAGAGCATCTATTTCATCGTCAAACGTTACACGACCAATACAAAGATTTTTCAAGCTGTAAAACTGTGTAAATATCGAACATAGTCTTAATATATAACTTACGTATAAAACTATATTAAATTAAAATCGATTTCAACGAATCAAACCGTTACGGATGATCGGCAAGAGTGTTGCGAAGCGGAGAATAAACGATTATCGAAAATCATTACAATTAATTTCACCGGTAATCCGTGGAAGTTAACTTTTATCACGATTACTGGCTTTGGTAGAGTAAAGAAACATCATTGGACCGAGAGAACTACGAGATGGCTTAGTGTATAAAAGCACGCCTCAAGTCGTTACAACTGAGACAGCGCCGTTAATTAAACCACCATTAGAATAACCATTCGGTTATTTGTAATTGAGATTAAGCTGCATAATATTTTCTTCACACCGACTTTAAATACATTCTTATTGCATCGCAGTGGCTAAAGGGTAGTCAGTGGAATATTTTAAAAGCTCATCGGCTGAACGATAAAATAAACAGGTTGGCACGTGTAAATCTCGGTCGGCTATGCACAAAAAAAAAAATCCCCTACACATATGTATTTTTTATTCATAATATACTTTTAACCCTAAAACTATTTTTAACGATCATCGTAAATTACACGGAAAGCTATATTATTAAATGTGATTTATTATTCGTATAATGCATATATATATTATAATACTCCCAATATCCTCTGAATTACATCCATAATAATCGATTATTTTTTTCAAAACTCATTTTTTACCTATGACTTTTTTAGAAACATTTTCAGACTGTTTTTATCGACATACCAATAATTACATTACTTGCATAAATTATTAACGGCAAATGAAATTAATGAATGCATCTATGCGTTTAAATGTGATTATGAACCTAGTAATTTCGACCAACAAAATAAAATATATTCTCATTTAAAACTATTAGACTTATATTTTATTATTCACCATAATACAGTCTGCAATTATTAACTATTATTTGTGTTTGATGTTATTCCTTGGATCCTTTGTTATGCAACATTTAATTAAGTTAATTCTGTGAACACTAGAAAATACTTCGAGGTATGCATGTACCTTTTGTGTTTTATGTTTTCCAAAAACAATCACGCTTATTATGGTGACAAACAATATGTAATTTTAAAATATTAAAACTGTTTTTGACCGAAGTTCACATAAAATTCTATTGACTCAAAGTAAACTACATTTTATTATTGTTGTATATGCCTCGTCAACTCTGGCCATTGGCTGCAATGATTTTACAAAGCTTTAGTAAAACCAATCAAAGTAAAGTATAAAAAAGAGAAAAATATATTCAAGAAATATGAGATTCACAGTCTGCGTATCAATAAAAATACAAACATTTAAAATTTTTTTTTCTAAAGACATATAAAAACAATAATACAGTATATAATATATTCTATATTCTCCGGCTCGCAATTAGCGCCTAGCGCTACTAGTCGGTCCATGGTCGTAGGGGACCCCCTTTGGGGAGAACCACAAAAGTATATATATTCTACATTTACCACAGAACTATCATCCAGACTTACTGCCACAGAAAACACACCTTGTACAAGGAATAATGTATTAATATGAGAGGCAATAGTATTTCAAACAGCTATACCTAGGGTTCAGCATGTAAAAGACTTCTGACCTCTTAAACGTCATGAAAATGCCAATCATACCGAGAATTATGTTGTTGTTGAGTACAGACTAAAGGATCAGTGGAAAACAGGGCTTTCATCTTATGTCGTCGTTCAAAGACAATATATACTTCAGTCGGTATTACAAAGGTCAACCGCGGAAAATCGTTACCTACCATATTGTTAATTTCGTTTTAAGCGACACAACGTTGAAATACTATATAACTACCATATAAGTGATAATAATAACCATTTGTATCGTAAGTTGCCTCGTCACTGTGATAAATGTGCATTGTGTCGGCAATGTATGCACTAAAACTTAACATTAATTGACAGGATAGAGAGAGATAACTCTTACGTTACACACACCATTAAGTCGGTGGAGTTTATGGCGGAAGGTGATATGTCGGTTTGTTCGATTTCAGATTTCATATCGTGGTGGGAAAATCTTATTTTTTACATGATGTTTTTTTTCTTTCCTTTCTCTATCTCATCTTTGTTTATCATAAATTTGTGTTTAATTGTATCGACTTCATTTAGTTCACATCATTAATGTGCAATACTGTTTGTGTTCTTTTATTTGCATTTGCTAACCTTTAAAGTTTTTTAAACAAAAGCTATAATGAAAAAAAAACAACTTCTTAAACATTCATAACGCGTACAGGCTTTACCTTTTTTTTGTACAATTAACACATGTTTCTGCCTCGGTGAACATTTGGACCGTTCGTGACATTTACAAGGTATCGATAGAACGAGCGGTGGTGTAAAGAGAGGGAAGGGTTGGTCACGTGAAAAGTGAACACCACCGTGCACGCTTTTGTTTGGGAATAGTGATGCGAATTTGCTTGGAACCTGCGATAGCAATACTATATTATTATGATTTACGACGAGGTAAAATCATTTATACAAAAAAAAAAAAAGATGCTTGTTTTTTAGTTGAGATCACGTTTTAGTTTTTTGCTCAACGAAAAGCCTATCGCTCGCTTCAGATACGCGCATTAGACGTATAATAAACGTCTCGGGAAATGATTTAGGAAAATATTATAATATTTTATTCGCACGAAAGCGACAGGGCCACGGCCGTTTGCTGTACTCGTGACAAACGTCTTAATGTCTTTTGATATTGTTATTGCGTGCGCTTTTATCGCCAAAAGGATAATATGTCTCGTTCGGGTCTTAACGGCAGACTTACTAATTGTAATGAGTGCACGAGTTAATCATCCTAACCTCTCGGTTATGACTTTCAAGTGTCGACCACTGTACGATAAAGTACTCGGTAACTGTTTTGCCATTGATGTGCATAAAACGACACAATATGTCCGCTGCTGATGTTATCACTGCTTCAAAGTTATATTGTATTTTATTACACTGCTATAACACTCGTGTGTGTGCCGTTTCACCATAACGTGCCCTTGGGGTAATGTGTTCAATAGCTTTTGCAACTTGAGCACAGAAAGTAGTAAGTGTTCTCAAATCTCATGACGAGTAAATAAAAAGAATACCTATATCGTTACACGTTTGAAACAGTTAAGGGGGGATTGACAGCGGTCTGGTATTTTTTTTTTTTGACGTTTTATGGGGAAAATATTTAATTTATTCACTACTTAACAAAACTGCTTTTTTTAATTGAAAATCAGTTTCCGACGTAACTCAGTAGAGAGACCACCAAATTCTTATCTTTATACAGCCAAAATCTTACATTTTTTTCACGGCAAAAGCACTTTAAAAAGAAAAGAAGGTGTAAACTTACACCGTTTGGACGCAAATCAATAGTAACAGTTTTTTTATTTTAGCTGAGAAGTTATTGGTTTCACAATAATGTGTTTATTTTTTAAACACGATAACTCTTTTCCATCTAAACCTACTTGGGCGAATCAAAGCTTAAAAAAGTCAATTCCTTAACCATTGGTTGAAAACTTGCCGGGTTACAGCTTTAACACGCTATTAAATGGTGAACAAATCGGTCGAAATACTAAATTTCGGTCCCTCCCCCCCTTTCCTCAAATGTTGATTTTTTTCGGTTCTTATAATTTTGAAGCACAATTTGAAGTTTAAGATGTAAAGATCAGATTGAAGATACACAATCTATATCTAAAACATGTATAAAAACTAATACCTTCTCAGCTATCGTGTCTACACCACATTGGTCATTTTCTGCTAGTTTATGTTGTGCTTGTATTTTTGTTTTGTTTTTTATATTACATTTAACTATTTAGATCCGGTTCTAAGGCACAATTAGTTTCAATATACGATTGTTTTATCCGTCGTGTCTTTATGTGCAAAATATGGTTTTTAGCAACGTCTGACTGTAAACTGGATATGTACAAAATCGCCATAGTCTTACACACCCATATTTCGGTCGGATTACCGTTTAAGTTCAACGGTTTGACAGTTTGACTAAATCCAAAATTCTATTTTCGTATACAAATCTTACTACAG